CCTAATGACTTCAATACATACATCATCTAATAAGGAGAAACATTTACAAGCGTATCAGAAAGATGTGCATTACTTTTGAATGGAATCAGCATTTTATGAGTTTCTAAAAAGGCAGCAGTTTGAAATCACAACTGGTGACAAGCAGCGCTTGTCTGCTGAGGCAAGGGCCAGAGGGCACAAGGGTTCCTTTTTTTACTACTGTTATTAGGAAAGCAATTTACACATACACAACAGTGGAATGAAACAGAATGAAATAATTTTCCTTTAGAATTTTGAAGACATTACTCCACTGATTTTTGGCAAACCAGTTCTTATTTTGTAGGAAATTGCCGCCCCCCCCCGCCCCCCTCCCCCCACACACAAGCACAAACACAAGCACACACTCACACACTTCTTTGGTAGCTTTCCAGATCTTTCCCCCTAATCTAGGTGTGCAAACAAGCCTTTCTAAGTGGAGGAATTGCTATTTTCACTTTAAGGAACAGATGAAGGACATGATTGCCAAGAAGCTGGAACTCCTGGTTCGGAAGGCAGACAGAGAAACCGCGGGGAGTGTTTGCATTGCTTGGGCAAACATTTGTTCAGTGGCAAAGCGCCTGCTGGGGGAGCAGTTCCCATGCTCTGTGGAGTCCAAGCCTCCGTGGGCTCCCCATTCCATGCTGTGTGATGGAACGGGGAGCTAGTCGGGGCCCCATCCAGCATGCGTGCCTGCATTTTGTGTATTACCTTTTCTCCTCCTCCTCCTCTTTCTTACTTTCACTTCCTCTGGTAACATTGGTCAAGTTCCTCTGTTCATCTTTCAAAGGCTCCTTTTCTTTTCCATGATAATGGTGTCCACCTCTTAAGGGCCCTTGGAGGAGTAAATGAAATCATGACTTGAAGCCTGGTACATAGTAAAGGCTCAAATCCCAGAAGCTATTCTTATTTTACTTTATTGTTCTATTTTTTCCTTATTTTACTTTATTGTTCTATCTGTCCTTATTTTCTTTTTGCCTAGTTTTTCTCATTTGCTTATTATTATTATTATTATTATTATTATTATTTTTAATTCTCATCCCCGAAGATATTTTTTCCATTGACTTTAGAGAGAGTAGGAGGATGGGAAGAGGATGGGAGGGAGGGAGGGAGTGAGAGGGGAAGAGAGAGAGAGAGAGAGAGAGAGAGAGAGAGAGAAAGAGAAACATCGATGTGAGGGAAACACTTTGATTGATTTCCTCCTGCATGCACCCCAACCAGGGCAAGATGAACCTGCAACTGAGGTACGTGCCCTTGACCAGGAATTGAACCCGGGACCCTTTGGTTCTTGGGCTGATGCTCTAACCACTGAACCAAACCAAACCAACCATGGCGTTATTATTATTATTTTTTAATCCTCACCCTAGGATATGTTTTTATTGATTTTAGAGAGAGAAGAAGGGAGAGAGAGAAAGAGAGAGAGAGAGAGAAGCATTGATCAGTTGCCTCCTACATGTGCCCTGACCAGAGATTGAACCTGGAACCTGGGCATGTGCCCTGACTGGGAACTGAACCTGCAACTTTTTTGGTGCATGGGATGATGGTCCAACCAATTGAGCCATCCGGCCAGGGCTTGCTCATTTGCTTATTTTTAAATCTAATTTTATAATTTTATCTTTTTAAAATTTATTTTTATGAAGCCACCTTAAATCCTTTCTGGTGTGGGAGTGAAAACAAATACAGTTGACCCTTGGACACACGGGTTTGAACTGTGTGGCCCCATGGACATGCTGATTTTTCTCAATAAATACCTGTGCTGTTTTCAATCCGTGGTTGGGAGTTTTCGGATGGGGAAGGCCAACTGTACACCATTTCATGTAAGGGACTTGAACATCGGCGGGTTTTGGTATCTGTGAGGGGTCCTGGAACCAATCCCCCGTAGATACTGAGGAGCAACTTAAGTTACACTTGGAGCCAAAAGTTGTGCTCGGATTTTCACACTGGGAGGGGCTTCCAGTAAGTCCATGTGCACCTTCTACAGTTGCTATAACTAATTACCGCTGGCATAGTGGCTTGCAGAACATAGGTTACCTCTCCAGGTTCTGCCTTTGGCCTCACTCAGTGGACGTCCTCACCGTGTCAGCAGAGCTGCATTCGCTCAGGAGGCTCAGGGGAGAAGCTGGTTCCTTGGCTTTCCCAGCTGCTAAGGCTGCCTACATTCCTTGGCTCATGACCCCTTCCCCCCTCTTCAAAGCCAGCAGTGCTCTGTCTCTCTGTGTCTTTCTTCCAGTCACATCCCTCCTGACTCTTTTGTCTCCCTCTTCCACTTTTCGGGATCCTTGTAGTTATATTGGGTCCACCCAGATAATCCAGGCCAGTCACCCAATTTACAGTCAGCTGATTAGCAACGTTAAGTCCATCTGCAACCTTAATTCTCCTTTGCCGTGTACATAACACATGCACAGGTTCTGGGGAGTGGGGTGGGGATCTCTGGGGCCCATGGTTCTGCCTACCACAGTTGGTTATCTGAGACTCTGCACCCACTGGGAATGCAAGAGTTGAGCAGTGTTTGAATGAATGTCTACTCCATCATCTCCTCACTGTAGTTTATTGTTGTCTCTGTTGAAACATCCCTTGTGATGGGGAGCTCACTACCTCCCATTCTGTGTGGACAGCTTTCATTTTGGGGAGGTTCTTCCCTACATGGTCTCCCATTGTGTCCTAATGGCCTCCATGCTCCGGCCCCCAGTTCTGCCCCTGGAGGCTTTCTTGTCAATTCCAGTTCTTCTGTAGGGAGCTGAGGACAGCCACCTGTCCCTCCTTGCCATGGGAAGGCTCTCGTGGCCAGAGGAGTTGGCAAGCTCATCCAAAGTAGTAGTGATTGCTCAGCCAGGTGAAGCTCCTGTCTGCTTTCAGATCTCCGCAATGGCCAGGTCCTTACGGTTCTCCGGATCGACAATACCTGTGCACCCATCTCCTTTGATCTGGGAGCCGCAGAACAGCAGCTGCAGACCTGGGGCATTCAGGTGAGGGCTGATTTGATTACATCCTTACTGTTTTTCCATCCATCCATCCATCCATCCATCCATCCATCCATCCGCCTGTCCATCGATCCTTTCATCTAGTTCTTCACAAAATATTTCATTAAACATATAGCATATTCTTGATATGGTAAGGGAGAGAAGGGAGATGTGTTAGAACTGTCCTCTCTTCTGCATTATTTCACTTAACAGATGTGCATTTTGGATACCCACTCTGCCAGGCCCGTAGCTGGGCACTAAACACGGGAGAGTTGAATAGACCCTGGTGCCTGGGCTCACACTGCTCCCAGAGCCCAGTGCGGAGATGGACATATGTCAGGTGAACCCGACAGTCTGATATTAATGCTGCATGAGAGGACTGTGTAAGGCATGGAAGACGGCCTGCACAGGAGAAAATGAGAAACCTGCCTGGTGTGCGGGCAGTGGTTGTAAAAGCTTCACAGAGGAGCAGCTACTTGATCTGGGATCTTGAGGAAAAGTAGGAGTTTGCTGGGTAGACAGGGGGAAGGGCATTTTAGGAGAGGAAACATTATAGGACTCATTAGCTGATAATGCAGTACCTTTAAGCATAGTGACTCGAGGTCTAGGCATCACAGATCCATAGCTCTGCATGCAGATCGAGCTCTCCTACTGCCTGTGTGACTTGGGACAGGTGACTTAACCTCTCTGAGCCACAGTGTCATCATCGTGAGGGCAGCATTAATACCTGTTACATAGGGTTTTTGTGATGATTAAGTGAAGTAATGCCTGAGGAACACGGCACTGTCTCTGGCACAGAGTAAATGTTCAATAAATTGTAGCTGTTGCTGTCATCATTAAGTACCCCAGCTGCGGTTTTCTCCCCCAGCATGGGAGCCTTTCCCTGCGCTTCCCAGGGAGGCTCAGTTATGGATGGGGAAGGTACACTGCTAATTTTACCCTGCAGATTTTAGAGTTCACGTCTTTTAACTGAATTGCATTATTGTGAAAAACAACATTTTGTTACCCTTAAAGGGAAACTTTCCAAATCGATAGTACTAAGCCCACATCAGCACAACAGCTGGTTTATCTTCCCCCGTTCCCTTCCAGCCTTTGTTGAGAACATTTTTCTTAAACAGTTATCTTCAGATGGGGTTTTCTTCACCCATGGACAGTTTACATACTGTCTTGCTGTGTTCCTGTACCTTTCCTGGTTAAATTCTGTTTTCCTTTTTTAAAAAAATGCGTTTTTATTGATTTCAGAGAGGGTAGAAACATCACTGGTGAGAGAGAATCATTGATCGGCTGCTTCCTGCACGCCCCACACTGGGGGTTGAGTCTGCGACCCGGACACGTGCCCTGACCAGGAATCGAACCGTGACCTCCTGGTTCATCGGTCGACGCTCAACCACTGAGCAACACCAGCCACGCCAAATTCTGTTTTCTTAAGCAGTGCACTCTTGTGGGGCCTTTTGCACTACGGCATTATTGTGTGGGCAGGAAGATGGGAGTTTTCAGTACTTTGGGCTGTATTAATAGGCACTGATATTGCAGTACTGATAATAGCACTTGTTCACCGTGGAACCAGCACTGGGCCAGCATACACATACACTTAGATACACATATCTGTCCAAGAAGGCAAAACCAACTGTGGTCGGCAGAACAAAGGCCCCCAAAGATGTCCAGATGATATGTATAAACTTAGCATATATATATATGCTTACTGTATAAGTACTGTGTTATCTTATTTAATAGGCACACCACCCCTACAAGGTGGGCACTCTTATTATCCTTGATTTACAGAGGAAGAGTCTGAGGCGCAGAAAAGTGCAGTTACTTTCTCCAGGTCACACAGCACATGAGTGGCAGGGCCAAGGTTTGGACCCAGGGCCAGCTGACTCCCAGGCCTGTGCCTTAAACTTTAGGCTATCCCGGTCGGCCATGAGATACTGAGCCTCGGGCTGCAGGGATCTCTCTGTGGGATGCCTCCTGGCTTTTGAGCCGCCCCACCTCACCGGGGAGGCCTGACCTTTCCTGAGCCGGGAGTTGCGCCCTGTGGTCGCCATCAGTGCTCTGAGCTCCTCATTCTGCCTCTGGTCCAGCCCAGAGCCAGCCGGATCCCCCTTCCGCATGACAGTCATGTGAACTGGGAATGACATGCTTGCTGGCGGGAAGGAGGTGGGGAAGGTTCTCTGTGGCTGACCGATCTCTTTCCCTTGGGTGGCCAAGCAGGTCCCGGCTGACCAGTACAGGAGCTTGGCCGAGAGCGCCCTCTTGGAGCCCCAAGTGAGAAGATACATCATCTACAACTCCAGGCCCATGCGGCTGGCCTTCGCTGTGGTGAGGAGGGAGGTGGGCCCACACTGTCCTGCTGTTGCCCCTGTGGCATGGCTGGATTCGGCGTCCTGTGGTGAAGCCTGTTGGCGTGGGTGCGGGTTTGGGGGCTGGCGGCCCCGCTGCCTGGCTGAGGGCAGCACCAGGGACCTGGGTTTGGGATAAGGGAATTGATGGCAGGGAGTTGTGGCCAGGTCCCCATGTAGAGGATGGGAGCAGGGTTTACTGAGGGCAGAGCTTGGCATTGTGGATCTGCAGACCCACCACTGAGGCTCTGGACTCGGCGTCTGGCTTTGGTCAAGACTTCTCTCCTCTCTGGGACTTGGTTTCCCCATTTGTTTAACAGGTAGGTCCATTTTAGCTCTAATCGTGTGTGTGTGTGTACACACGTGTATAGATACATATAAACATACATATATACCTACATATATACAAACACACATGCATACATATAAATGACATAGCAAGTATTTGAACCCAGGCACTCTGGTTCAACCCCTCTTAATCACTGCGACTTGTTGCTCCTCTATGGAAAATGGTCAAATACCACTCTTAACCCCTATGTCCTGCTTCTCAGGAAGGAAAAGGGATGGCAACTGGCTTTTATTAACTTTCTAACAAGTGTTATGCTGTTAACATGTTATCTTCTTAATCCCTATATCCACCCTGTGAAGTTAGTATTATCCCCATTTTACAGATGAGGAAACTGAGGCTCAGAGCGTTGTTATAACTTGTCCAGGCCACATAGCTGTTGAAGGATCACGGTGGGTTTCTGCCTCAAATTTCTCTCCCTCCCAAGACCCCTGCCCTTTTCTGCTTTATTTAAAATCAGTGCAAGCAGGGATTTGGAGTAACTAGTCTCACCCCATTTTCCTACCTTCACTTATGATCAAGGAACAAGGGCTCATTCTCACAGGCCCCCATCAGTCTCTCACGGGCCCTGGGAGCTCTGTGCATCCAAGGAGGTGTCAGAAGTGTGTCCCCTTGAGTGGAGCTGCCTCTCGAGAGGACTGGCGTTCCTGACCTTGCCCTTGCCCCACTTCCCGCAGGTTTTCTATGTGGTGGTGTGGGCCAACATCTACTCCACCAGCCAGATGTTTGCCCTGGGGAACCACTGGGCGGGCGTGCTGCTGGTGACCCTGGCCGCGCTGAGCCTGACGCTGACTCTCATGCTCATCTTCGAGAGACACCAGAGGAAGGTGAGATGTCCGGGGACCCCAGCCACGTCTCCTCTGGAGGGCTGTGCGGGCAGGAGGATCCCCAGTCAGAGTTTTTCCTTTCACCTGCTTCAGCAAATTGCTGCAACCTTGAAATTCACACTGGCTCCTGTGCCCAGTGACTCAAAGAAATTAAGTCACACATGTGATTAAATCCTCTCTGTCTTTCCTGTCGGATCCCTGTGGGTTGTTTCTCTGGAACAAGCTCTCTTTTGAGAGTCTGGGAGGTGAGAGAGGGCACAGAAGGCCAGTATTTGTGTGGCACTTAAAGGTTACTGAGTCCTGTCACCTCCTCCCCCCATGCTCAGGAGGGCTCTGAGTGAGGAGGGGATTATCGAGGACGGGGTGCCTGAGGGAGCTGGCTGGGTGCTGGCTCTGTGCTCTGTTGACAATCATGTCTCATTTAACTCAGCAGCTACTTACTAGGCAGTGAGTGGGTGGTCAGAGTTAGGTAACTTGGCCCGATCCCACTGTGAGTGGCGGAGCGGGGGTTCAAAACCCGAGACCTCTGATTCCCCATCTCATTCAGAAAGGAGATTGCTCCCTCCCGGCGTGTGTGTGGCTCACTAATGTATTCTGCTTCTTTAACATACTTATGGATCACTTCCTATGTGGTTGATTGTCTGTTAAAGGCTTTATGTACATTAACTCATTAAACCTGCCCAGTAAATCTCTGGGTAGAGTCTTCCATAGTCATTTTACAGATGAGGTACTGTAGGCTCCAAAAGGCTCTAGCAGTAGTCCAAGGTCATGCTGGCAATAAATGGCAGAGCTGGAATTCAGGGCCAGGACACTGAGATTCCAAGCCAAGTTCTCAGTTAAGACCCGGCTCTCTTGGTATTTCATAGGTGCTGTGGCAGATCGCCGTAAATGTAGTAACTTAACACAGATTTATTCGCTTACTGTTCCTCGGTTTAGAAGGTTGACACAGCAGGGCTGCATCCTCTCTGGAGCCTCCAGGGAGACTCCGTTTCCTCACCTTTTCCTGGAGGCCACCTGCATTCTTTGGCTCTTGTTCCCTTTCTCCATCATCAAAGCCAGCAGTGGCAGGTTGAGTCCCCCCATGGCCCTCCCCCCCCAGATTGTTTGGAGAATTAAATGACTTAATACATGCCAACTGCTTATAATCGTACCTGCTATAAAGTACGTGCTCAGTAAGTGTTAACTGTTACAACTATTGAGTCTTTTGGCCAGTGGGGAAAAAGGCTCAGAGAGGTTAAGTAACCAGTCCCTGGCCACACAGCTTCCTCAGTTCTTGCCTCAGCTCAAGGACTTCTTCCTCCTTGGATTCCTTGTCACTCATGACCATGCATATCCCTCTTCCTGACCATTGTCATCTTACTATTAGTGGCCGACCTGCATTACGTAGCATCCTTGAGAGCCTCCGCAGTTTGTATATACTGCCTGCTTCCCCTTGTTTGGGGCATGAATATCCTTTCTCAAAATCGGAAGGTGTGTGGGGAAGGCAGGTAAGCCCCTGCCGTGTATCCCATACAGAATAATGCACGTTGCTAGGGCATGTGGGAAGGTCCTAAAAATATTTGTTGCAGCCAGCGTGGTACAGTGGAAAACACTGTGTTCTCAATTCAGTATCATCATCGTAATGATATCATTACCTGACATGCATCGAGTGTTTATTCTTCCCAGGGTTCTGTGTGGATGAACTCATTTCATCCTTATTAAAATCCTTGCTATGACAGGGAGTTAGTGTCTCCAATTTGGAGATGAGGAGATGGAGGCAGAGACATAGTGAGTAATTTGTCCAAAATGATGCAGGTAGTGAGAGGTGGAGTCAGGTGATGCAGGTTTCTGAACGGGGGAACCAGCCTTGCAAACATTCTAGGCAAAACACAATCACTCCTTGATTTTCATAGTAGTGGCATTCCTGGAAAATTCACTGTATTTTAAACCTGTTTGAAAACAAACCCACTTTGGGTTTAAATGTAAAGTGGAGTTAGGTTGGCCAGCCAGAGAACGATGAGTAGAACTTTCACCCAGAGGACATTTTTAGTCCAGGTTGGCCAGGAGACGATTCTTCTGTGTGGGATTGTCTTTCTTGGGGCATGGCCTCAGTGGGAGGCAGCAGTTAGCATCCCTGGCCCTTGTGCCTAAGGGCCAGCTTTGCCATCCATTCCTGTGGCAGCAGAAAGAGTCTTCTCGCATTTCCAAATGCTTCCTAAGGGGGTCCCGCTCCTTTGGGAACCATTGTCCTTGAGCTGCTTTCTAATGGCATCTGAAGCCCTTAATGGGGGGATCTCTTCCCCAAACCAGCACTGTGGACCCTTCTCCCGTCTCCCTAGCCTGCTTAGCTTCTACTTTGTCAACTAAATCTATTCTGTCATTGGTTTGCGTTGGAAAAGGAGACAGTTGCAGAGGGCACCCACGCTCCACTGAGGGCCAGGCACTGTGCTAGATGCCTTATAGACGGAGTAGGTGCTTTATTGTCCCCCACCCCCCATTCTTTCCCCCGTCAGCCCCCTCCAACTCTCCTCTATCCTCTCTCCATCCCCCTCCATCCCCCCTCCATCTCCCTCCATCCCCCCTCCATCTCCCACCATTCCCCCTCCATCCCTCCTTCATTCTCTCTCCCCCTCCATCTCCCCTCCTCCTGCAGATACCTGTGGCACCTGACTGTGTCCCAGGCACTGGCTTAAGTGCTTCACACACACAAACTCAATTCAATCTCAGCACATTCCTAGGAGACAGAGACGGTCTTTTTCTTTGTTCTCACGCCTGCAGAAAGCAAGACTCAGGGAAGGGACATAACCTGTCCAGGGCCCCACAGCCCGGAAGTAACAGAGCTGGGCTTCAACTCTGCCTGACACTATCGGATTGTCTCAGCAGCTCCACAATCCCATTTGATAGAGAGGACGTGGATGTGTCTCGAAGAAGAGGACTGTCCATGGTGGCTAGGGGTGGGGTGAGGTGTGGTCATTTCTGGTGCCCGAGGGCTCCCTGGCAGCGTGGAGGTCTGGCCACAGGGCTGGTGTTTGTCTTACAGGCCAACACCAACACGGACCTCAGGCTGGCGGCTGCCAACGGAGCCCTGCTGCGACACCGGGTGCTGCTGGGCGTGACGGACACGGTGGAGGGCTGCCAGAGCGTGATTCAGGTGCGTGTCTCCGAGAGACCTCTCCTTGACGGCCCACTTTTGGGCTGATGGGGAGTGGTGGCCCCAGGTTCTCCCAGTCTGCACAGTGTCTGCCCGGTCTGCTAATAAGACAGTGTAGGCAGCCCTTCCCTTCCTCCCTGCGCCAGTGTTCCTTCCTGGAGACTCTTCTCTGGGTGGAACCTCCATGGGGCAGGCTGGAAGGGAAGCTCAGGGGCAGTCCAAGCCTCACTCATTCAGCATTTATTCAGCAAACCGTGGGGCCTCCTCTGTGCCAAGCACATGCAAGGCCCTGGGAGAGGCAGGTCAGATCCTGAAGGCATTGTCCACCTGGCTCGGTTGCTTTCTTTGCCCTAAGGACAGTGGGGAGAGCTTAGGTGACTAGTATGAGGTCACCCAGTGGGTCCTGGCTGGGCTCCCCAGGTGGGATTGCTAAATCTATTTAGCACTGCATCTGCCCCTTGCCCGGTGGGAGCACAGGGTGGGCGGGTGGCAGAGACCTGGGAAGAATCTCCTTGTGCGCATCACCTGTTCATCCTGCAGATATTTACTGAGAGCCTAGTGTGTGCCAGGCACTGCTCTAGACACACACAAGTCCTTGTGTTTAGGGAGCCTGAGATGGTGTAGAATGTAAGGGGATCTTGACTGACACCTGGGGGTGAACTCAATGGCATTGTAAGGTGTCTGGCAGTTCAGATGTGACATGGAGACTGACATTTCCTTGAACCAGGGGCCCTTTCAGCCTCATTTGTCTCTGAGTCCTCTTTATGGATTGGCACATGGGGTGACTTGGCAAGTGTTAGTTTGAGGCATAGATGGATGAATGACCCATGAACGGACATAATTGGGTCATTCATTTTAAAAATAATTGGGTTCTTTCATTTTCAAAGTAGTATCTTGGGATGAGGTGATACCATATCTTGTTTTTTTTTTTTAAATCATTGGGGTGGGGCAGGGTGGGTTGGGGGATGGAGGTGTCTGGGGTGAGTGATGGGTGGGGGTGGAGATGAAACAAGAGTAGCCATGAAGTGATCATTGTTGAACCAAGATGCTGAGTAGCTGGAAGTTAATGACATCATTTGCTCAACTTTTGCATATGTTTGTAAAATTTCATAAGGAAAAAGAAAAGAAATTAACTTAAAGAAATGTTCCTTGAGGATGAGACAGTGGGAGGGATTAGTTGGCAAGAGGGGTGTGACCGTGGGTCTCATAGGTAGGTCACTGGGAGGAGGGAGGTCAGGGGTCAGAGGAAGGGGTCAGTGGTTGGAGGTGTGAGACATGGGCTACCAGCTTCTTGCAGAACGTGGGTGAAGTGCGGCAGGTGTGGAGCTGGCAAGATGATGTGATGTGTGAACATGGAGGATTTCGGCCTGGCTGAGTTTAATCTGGCTTTCTGGGGACTGTTGAGGCTGTGGCGGAAGGGGAGGTAATGGTGAGGTGAGAGGACTTTGTCCCCTGCTCCCCTCCCCCCAGAGCACCCACGTTGATTACCTCTGACCTGGCCGTGGGTAGCGGGGGTGACAGCTCTGAAGGGTTTCATTCATTTGCATGTTGGATTCCAGACCGAAGGGCCCCTGAAGATGAAGGCAGTAGCCCTGGATGGATACGTGATGTGCAGGGCGGCTCGGAGTCTATCAGATGCTTAGTGACTGTGAGAGGTGGGGCTGCAGCCTTCTGGGCAGGTGTACACACGGAGCCAGTTTTCTATACGAAGGAGACTTGCTCCTGCGTGGGGACTCTGGGAGAGAGCAGAGTGGCATGTTCCCGCCAGAGGCCAGGATACATCCAGTGGGCCTCCAGCAAGGCGGCAGGAGACAGAAGACCATCTCAGGGATGGAGGGTTCAAGGTCAGGCTGGCTTTGAGCCCCAGGGCTCACAGCTTCTTCTTTCCCCAGCTCTGGTTTGTCTACTTTGACCTGGAGAACTGTGTGCAGTTTTTGTCTGAACATGTTCGAGAAATGAAGACTAGCCAAGAGGTAAGATACCTTAAATGAAAAACAAACAGACAGAATAAACCAGGCGAACAAATTGTAGAGTTTGCCTTACCTCCATGTTGGGAAATGTCTACGGAGAAGTTACTTAGAAGGAAGGACACCTGTGTCAGATCAGTGGTGGTTTTGCCGAGGGAATGAAGTCTTTGTAACTAAGCACATGGTAAGTAATCTCCTTTTTTAACTATTGTCATTTTCCACATTTCCTATAGTGAGCATATGCTTATTTATAATATAATAGTAATGAATGTTAATAATAATAATGAGGATCCTGGTAGAGGAAAGTACCATGTATTTAGGCGGCTTTCACTTGTTCAAAATGCCTGCCCACCGTTTATAAACAAGATCAGGGAACTCTTGCTCTGATTCCACAGATGAGGAAACCGAGGCTCTGAGAAATCCTGTCGCTCTCGGGTGGTCATGGAGCCAGTTGGTGACTCCCCGTTTGGGACCTGGCCCTCCTGTCTCTGAGCCC